ACATAGTCCCGTTATCGTGGTCCTGGGCCGGCCCCAGGTTCTTCGCCCAGTGGGACGTGCTGCCCAGTAGAGTTCCAGGGGAGTCTACCGGGGGGGGGCATCCTCACCAGATGCCTGAACCACCTCAACTGGCTCCTCTCGATCCGAAGGAGCAACGGCTCGCCTCTGAAACTCTCCCGGATTACCGAGCTCCTCACCCGATCACGGAGAATGAGCCCGACAACCCTGCGGAGAAACCTCATTTCGGGCCCTTTTACCCACGATGTCATCCTTTCGGTCATTACCCAAAACTCATAACCATAGGTGAGGGTGGGAACGTAGTTCGACCTGTAAATCGAGAGCTTTGTTCGAGAACTCAGCTCCTGCTTCACTACCATGGAATGGTACAGTGTCCGCAACACTGCGGACACCGCACCGATCCACCGGCCGATCTCCAACTCCCACTTACCATCACTCGCGAAAGAGACCCCGATGTACTTCACTTCCTCCACTAAGGGCAGCTGTTCCCCCTTCACCTGGTGCTTGTGCCAGGCTATGTACACTTTAAGGGCACGTGAAGTGTTGAACGCCCATTGTCAGGTCACCGGACAGACCCAGGTCCCATGGGTTGACTGACTGAAATGACTGGCCGATGCACCACCTGTGTTCCCTACTGTGCCAATTTTCTGTATTTTATGTCTGGCGCTCTGCCTGTTGTTGTGAGCGTCGCTCCTCTGCCCTCCGTTGTTGCTGGAGGGTGACTGCATCAAACTGCCCAATAGCGTCCTTATCGAGCCTCCTCCACAGAGGCTGATCTTGACACCACTGGTATTAATGGCAAGTCCACTTAGCTCCAGCTCCTCTCGTATCACATAATTCCATTTTCTCTAGCCCGTGCTGCGCCAGTTTAGCCCCCTCTATCCGGCTGAACAAAAGCTCTTTGGGCATGCGGTGGCTGGGCATGCGGGCTACATGACTCAGCCAACGCAGCCTTGCCTGCCGGAGAGGCTCACCAATGGGACTTTGTCCAGATCGTTCAAAGATTTGTGAGCTCCTCACACAATCCAGCCTGGTTTAACCCAGAATGGATCGAAGGCAGACCAACTTGAATGTTTATAACCGGCGAAGGTGTTCCTTTCGGGGGTCCATGTTTCGGAAGCATAGAGAACAGATAGCATGACCGTGGCCGTGAAGACCCAAAGCTTTGTGTGGCAACTCTAAAGGCATATGAGGGAACTGCATCTGTTTTGAGTACGGTTATTCGAATTGCTATTTTTGCACCCCTGAGGTATGTTCTACTTTATGTTCAAATTTCCAAAATACCAAAGATGCCATACAAGTTTAGTTTGTAAAATAATGCTTAAAAAGCTGCAGACATTTAAGAAGTGGGGGTTAAATTCCATTCGCTACACATGACCTTAGCTTCTGCCATTGGGTGTTGTGCAAGGATGGCTCGCTCTACGACGATGCCCGTTTTATCTGCGATAACCTCGGTTACAGCTTTGGATTTGACTATGAAACAATATGTGCTTGCGCGAATATACACACGTTCCAGTTGTTGCTTTCCATTTCAATGTCTATTTTCCTTTGCTAGGAAAACATTGTTTAACTGCCACCATTGCAACCACATGCTTCTTACGTAAATGCACAAGAAATGTTGCAAATGCTCGATTTAAGGGTTTCAATGAGAGATGACATGTTTGTATGCTGCACGGCGTCAACACGATGAGGCAATGCACATTTCCGTGATGTGATGATTAGCACGCTGGACTTGCAATCCAAAGGTTGATTCCACCCTCCCGGCATGGCAGTCGAAACAATGTTTCAAGTTTATTTAACACCTCCACCCCAAACCCTCACCACCTCTGTCCACCCAGCAGTAGTAATGGTTGTGGAGACGCAAATATGGGAATATGCATTCATTATTAGAGTAAACAATTGCTTTCAATTAACGATATAGGAAATGTATCATATTGGAATGCCAATATAAGATGAGCATGATAATATAGTTGTTTGGAATCTTTCCGCGAAAAGGTTGAGGAATTAATAATTTAGGGTTGCGGTGAGATGTTAACTCCCTCTCCTGGCATGCAGGAGGTCGTGGGTTTGATCCCAACCTTGACGTCTGTATATTTCGAGTTTGCATGTTCTCCCCATGGTCGCGTGGATTTTTCTGCAGGCTCTCCGGTTTTTCCCTCAACATTTTGAAACATCCGTTTAGAGTATTTTGCTGCTATAAGTTTCCACAAGATAAGCCACTTCGTTGAGCTATAATTTGTGGCCAGGTCGTTTCTGGAAAACAGCTATATAGCTCAGTGGGCCTTACCTGGTAAAATAAACAAGTTTTAGTGGTTTTAGTTAGAACCCATTACCTCCTGCATACCAGGCGAGGTAGTTAACATCTCGCCACCGCCGCGCGAGAGAGGAGAGATCAAAGGTGAGATGGGATTCAGTGGAACGAATTGTGATGTGAGAACGGTGGATGTGACTTGAGAAGCACGTGGATAATTAAAATCCAAGCAGCTGACACCATGTAATTTTTGGCTGTAAAGATGTTTGAATAAATGTGGTATTATGGAAGTAAAAATATTAATGTTCTGCACCAGTGCCATATAGTGCTTAAATAGAGCTAAAATGCATTTCACTGATCTATATATGTATAGTGGAGTAGGAAGGTGGGCAGTGGAAACAGCGTGATTACGTGATAACACAGACAGTACGGGTTATGTTGGGTCAGCCTGTAGTGAAGGCAAATACAGTACAGGTTATGTTAGGGCAATTAAGCTGGGAGAGCCAAGGACGGCTGGGATTGGTTGGTGCTGTTGCCAAGGCTGGAGGGGCGTCTTGAAGTCTGGCGAGCTAACAGGTGGACGGTCACGCAGAGTGCCGTTGGGACGCGGGTTAATTGGAGGTGTAATGAGAGCGGGTATAAGAGCAGGGGTTGGAGTCAGTAGCAGGAGAGTTGGAGTTTGGAGAGCTTGGAGACGGAGGTTGTTGAAGTGTGGGGAGCTTGCAGACGGAGAGTTGGAAGGACAGAGTTTGGGAGACAGAGTTAGAGACGAAGCAGCTAGCAGTGAAGAGAGCGTAGCGATAGCGGAGCTGAAGAAGAGAAGCAGCTAGCAGTGAAGAGAGCGTAGCGATAGCGGAGCTGAAGAAGAGAAGCAGCTAGCAGTGAAGAGAGCGTAGCGATAGTGGAGCTGAAGAGAAGCAGTTAGCAGTGAAGAGAGCGTAGCGATAGCTGAAGAAGAGAAGCAGCTAGCAGGGAAGAGAGCGTAGCGATAGCGGAGCTGGAGAGAAGCAGCCAGCAGTGGAGAGAGCGTAGTGATAGCGAAGCTGAACAGAGACGAAGCAGTTAGAAGTGGAGAAAGCATAGTGACGGTGATAGCGGTGAACAGAGACGAAGCAGTTAGCAGTGGAGAGAGCATAGTGACGGAGACGAAGCAGTTATCAGTGGAGAGAGCATAGTGACGGTGATAGCGGAGACGAAGAAGTTAGCGGTGGAGAGTGCATAGCGACGGTGATAGCGGAGAGCGGAGACGAAGAAGTTAGCGGCGGAGTGAGCGAAGTAATCGTGGGGAGTGGAGAGATAAAGGTGGCGAGCGAGTCGAGTGAAGCACGGCGAGCGAGCCGTGGCGACCAGGATACTGTGGAATGTGGAGGACATGCTGAGAGTTGTAAATAAAGTGGTGTTCGAAGAAAGACAAAAGTTGTCCGAGTGAAATCGAACACTGCATATGTATTGGTAAAGCACAATATGCAACTTCATGCTCTAAACAGCTACTAAGGAAAAATAAATATAGTGTACAAATGCCATGCAAACATTTTTATACATTTGGAAATGTATAGCTCCCGGAGCTTCGTCACGGAAGAATATCGTTAAACTTAACAAAGGGAATTTCTCTCAACTAAGCGAAATCATGTACCGTATTTATTAGTCTCATACTTTCAAAAGATAGCAATTCCAAGTTTCAAAACGAGAACCAATGAAACATTCCAACATTTCTCAAACGCCATACTAATAATCTTTTAAATCAAGTATTGCTTCTGAGGTTTATTTTCGTTCAATTTGAAATACCAAAAGTAACACGTGCGATGTCCCCGATAAGTCACTGAATTGAATGTAAATGATGAAGTATATAACCAGCAACAAAGGACGATTCATCCAGGTATATCGACTTAATGTGTGTTATGTATACAACACAACTTCTAGTACTTACTACTTATTGTTGTTGCTTTTAAGTGACGTAGATGATCGGTAGAGGAAGAAAATCTTGATTTTGAGGACCTGTTTGCCGAACGTATGCTCATTCAGTAGCATACGAGGCAATCGTCCAATTAAATGTAACGTTAACCTACAGCTACAATACTCTGAACGCGACAAGAACTTTTCAGCGTTACACAGCGGATCGTCCAATAGGTTAGACAAGATACGTTAGACTTTGGCTTCTGATAAAAACCAAAAAAAACGCTTGAATTATGCAACTTTTTAAAATGTGAAATCCTTTTCCAGTAAAAAGTAGGTGTAAATAAAATCAGTACTGTACTACCTATTCATTGCCCGAGTCAAATTTTCTAAAAGGACTTAATGCTCATTCGATAGCGAGCGGCAATCGTCCAATTAAGTAGAGTCTTCATTTGCGACGCATGCAGGTATTGTGCGCATTGCAGATTCCTTTAAACCCCGAAACTGTGCACCAATTAATAGTTACCGAGATAAACCTTTGGTAAATATACCCCACAACGTACATTGGACTTTAGCCTGAGAACATTGAAACATTCGCACTGGTTCATTCATGCAACGCTCTTAGATTTCAATATATTTTGTTCACACTTTAGTCAGTCTTTCTCATCAATTTGTTTACGCGTAACTATAAATAGATGTAACAAAAGCACAACTTAATAGATTAAAGGATAAACTACATGTCATGAAAATGACACGTACCAATGCAAGTTTTGAATATGATGGAGAGCACTTTAATTGCACAGGTATAATCATAATAAAAGCAATACCAGCAGTGTTGTTTGCTATTTGTGAATTTTATTTTAATATAACCAAGAAATGGATTACTGAAATAAAACAAGTTATATATTTTAAGAATGCGGACAAGTGTACAAGGACAGGTAGCCATAAAGACACCAAAAAAACATGCAATTTTTTTCTCTCCAAATGTTGAATTATGCATAACAAAAAAACATACACGATACATAGGCAACACTAAAGTTGCAACATGATTTACCGATTTAAGTTTTAGGCTTTCACGGCTGTACTCAGTCATACCATTACAGTATTTGGGTCAGCTGTGTGGTTAATTAGTACAGGTACAAACAGTCCCACTTATGTGGCCAAAGTTCATTACAAACCAGAATAGACCTCTTGCCGATGAATTTGCCAGTCGTCAGATGGGTCAGATTGGGTCACAGGCAATAGAAATTGCAACTTTAAATGGCAGACTTTTCTGACAACCCCGTATTTATGTGCTATGGAGGACAATTCTTGAAACGCTGCCTACTTTTTTATTTTATGGCGGTGTTATTGACAAACGCGTTGAGTTATTTCCTTATTTATAGGTTAAAATTAACATTAAAACATCGTGCACACACTGCACATGCACAAAGTAACTTTTAAGATGTTTTCTTGTTCATGTTTTAGTTTTTTTGTTTGTTGCGGTTGCACCCGATTCAAGAGCCGAATGACTCACAGGGCTATACCAAATAAATGAAACTATGAAACTATGAACGAAAGCCTGCGTTCACATTGGACTTCACCTCCACACAGCTAACCCAAAAATACTATTGATATGACGTACTTATACATCATATGGAAAATGAGTTTATAAGGGAATGTAGTTTACATCGGGAATGATGAGATTAGATACTTTTTGTATAAAGGTGCTTGTTTTATAGCAGCAAGCACACTGTATAAAATGCGTATTACATTTGCCATAATACTAAGGGGATATCATGGAGCAGGAGAATGAAGATGGGTCATCTGATGACATCAGTCTCGATGGTCCCTCAACCGTTTAGCACATTCTTGACCAAGTCTGTAAAAACACAAAACATTGCAATTGTTTAGACTACTTCAGGTACATTACAATCCCACTCTCCTATTAATAGTAGAACAAAATATAAAGTGTTATTTCCCACAAATGACTCCTGACCTTTGGCTTATTTTTTTTTAAACCTATGGACCAAAAATATAATGTACAGTTTAGCCTGAAATTTTGGGATGTTTTTCATATATTTATTTTATTATGAACCGGTGTAATATCCATTACATTAGCGATATAATTGTGGATAATTATATAGGGTTCTGAATTGATTTTTCAAATGAATCTAAGTAATACTAACATATTTTATTTACAATGCTTTAGTGAATACTATAAAACAGCCACATCAGCAGTGTATGTGTAAACAGAATAAGGTTTGTAGCATAGATGTAAAAAAGTAGAAATTAAATGCTTTTAATTTAGTAGTTAAAAACCATATTTCCAAATAATGTATTTACATTGATATGACATTTTTGCATCAATAAACAATGCAGGTGGTCACATTTGAACACCCTTCCAAATACTCATGGTTTAATCCATTCAGGCCAGCTAGATGTTGGAAATATGTTGACATCAAGGCAGATTAAAAGGCATCACGCATACCATAATGGGCTTCTCAGGCAGACATGATGTGTCTAATAAAATCTGAAAGAAAAACATCAAAATGGGTAACAGATTAAGAATTGTTTTGAAACCCAAGATATTTCACATTCAAATGCACAACCTATCTCCCTTCCTGATTCTTTTTTTTTATATAGAAATCACCATCCATGAACAATACAATGCCACTTTTTTTAAATTTTCTTGCTGTGGTTTTCACACCTGATGATGATTGCTTGTGTTGCAGTCGAAACGTCGTGAGAATTTTATTGTTTTATATTTTTTATTATTTTGTTTCCCTTCTACGTGACTTTACCGAAAGAACCAAGAATATGAATCCCTGCAGTCACGAGAGCTTTAAATAAAAAAAATACAATTCCAATAAAACTGAGCTTACAAAAAACCTCGGGTACATTTACCATAATTACAATGTTCATTTACAATTTAAGATTAAGTTGCCCATGTAAACTTGTATCAATGCAATAAGTGTAATCAGTCAGCCTTATGAAGAAAAAAATATATCCTACCACATAAATTAAGACAATGACAGTTTTATTTGGATTGCTCAAGAAGTGCAACTGCCTGTTGTGGCTGTGGGGTGGCAGCAAATGTAAAAAAACAGAGTACTGTCATTTCAGCAACATACTGCATTGCAAAGTATGGAAATGTTCCAGCTCACATTATTTTCAGCCAAATTATATCCACTCGTGGATGAAAGCCTACCCACATCATTGCCATCCCTCGCAGTCATATGATGCCACAAAGCATCTGGGTCCTGTGCATGAGCTGATCTCATTGCGATATCTTTTTGGTGGTTGTTGTATTGAAATCGTTCCTTCCTTGGCTGTCATTCCAACTCCAATTTGTGAGTTTAAATGATGATCCTGGCTAATATATTTCTCAATTACCTGACATTTCTTAGACAAGAGAGATGTAAGGAGTGGTGAGGCATGAGAAGACAAATAAAGTGAAAGTGCTTAATGAGAAACCAAATAGGTGGTAATACGTAAAAAAAAAAGTGGCTGGCATTAACTGTAGCCACACTGCTAGCAATAAAAGTTACGTGTTCTGACAGGGGATTGCAGTCTGTACTCAATAAGTACTATCATCATCATAAGCACTGATCTAACCACTTCTGGATTAAGGCTTCTGCAAGTCTCTGCCCTTCTCTCACGGTCCAGTGATTCAACAATGTTGTCATCAATTTCTATCTCCTGCATGCGAGCTAAGCTCATGGCTCAATGTTCGAGGTGGACATGCTATTGGGGCGTGCCCCCTCCTTCAGCTGCCACTCCATCCTTAGTCTTGTTCAATGTCTTCCCTATTAATGTCTTGGCCAGGCCTGCTTAACTTTCTTAGCAGTCGATACAATGTATAGAATTTGTGTTGGTTTTATGATCCACGTGTTCCTCTTCATTTATCTCGGATAACTTTGCAGCATGCATATCTCCATGATTTGTGTACGTTTTACCTTATTTTCGATGTTCTTTGTCAGAGATCATGTTTTTGATCCATGGCAATGCAAGGAAAATGCACAAACTGAAAACTGTATTCTTAAGGCATCGTGGTATATACATTTTCAACCAAAAGTTGGCTACCCCCATCTCCATAAATTAAGAGAAACATGTGTAATGAGTTCGAATTTAGGCACACACAACTTCTTGGGAGGCAACACTATTTATTACTGAACACAACCGTTAACTCTTACATTACGCATAGGGTGGTGACCACCGACCTACTCCAGCTAACACACACTTCTCTAACTCTCAGATACTCTAGCGTGGCCCAGCCAGGTGGGCTACAGACAGGTCCGCTGACTGGAGGCTTGACTCTTCTTGGCATCTTCACGATGCATCTTCATTCTTGATACGGGCAGCCTCGAACCTCGTGAGGAGGCTGCTTATATATGGGCCTCGGCGTGCCCGGACTCCGCCCCGGCCACGCCTCCCTTGGAGAACCCTCTCGAAGCCTCCCTGCTGTCCACGTGCCCCCCGAGGTGACCCCTGGGCCCCCGGCCCCCACTGGGATCCGGTCACGTGTCCAGCCGGGATCACAGAGAGTGCCACGACCTCACACCACCCCCGTGGCCTCCCAAGTCCAGAACCGCCCTGACGTCATTCCCGCCTCCAGCCGGGATGACGTCATGTGTGTGTGTAGACCCGCGTGGTAGTGACGCTCCCCCGCATAGTGACGTCACACGTGTGCGTGTATACACAGTATTGATCCTACAAGTCACTACATCACCCTCTCCCATTATCCCTCAGCACAGCGCATCCGTGTGAATTTGTACGCATGCACCGACATATGAATGTGACTGTTTGACAACGGTGTAGGCAATCAACAAGGTCTTCGAATGAGTTCGCGTGGGCAAGCCCCCAGGGGAGGCGAGCACGCTCGCCCTGGAGATCTTGGGGGAACGTGAAAAAGGCCCAAAAAGGGCACGGCCCCTTCCCAGGAGTTGGGCAACAGGACAAGCAGAAGTGACGTATGGGCGCTCCACTCCCCCCTTCAAGTCCACATCCGGTCAGCACAACCGGCGACTCCAAGGGCGGCAGGTGCAGGAATTCTGCGACGAGAAGAAACCACCTCCTGAGGCACAGCACCACGAGCCTGCGCCTCAGCTCGTCGGACACGACAGCCACCCATCCCAGGGAAGTGAAGCTGATCGTATTCCACCCGGCGGAAGAAAGAAAAACAAAAATACATAGATTCCGACGCGTTGGATGCACAACCAACACCGGTAATCAAACCAAAATCATACAACCACCCCATGGATGGCAGGGTCTCACACCGCTCTACCGTTCCACCCCACAGGTGGCAATTGGGCGAAGACCGAAAGTCTAACACCCACCAACACACACCACTTAACATTCCGGACGTCTCCCTACGTCCCAGATCGAGAAGTCGCACTTCAGGGTCGACCCATGTACTGGCTGAAGGAAGTCACACTTCAAGGTCGAGCCAGTATGCTGCACCCAAAGGTACAACGTTGGATGTTGTACAACATCCCGGGTCAAGGAAGTCATGCTTCCAGGTTGACCCATGTACTGGGCAAAGAAGTCGCACTTCAGGGTTGCCCCAGTATCTACATTTTTCGTTACAAAATATGTGAAATCGACATGATGCAAAAAAAATGCCAACTCTTGCCCAGAAATGGCGGCCCAGCGTGCGAACATCGCTGTGGTTTCCCGCGCACGCCCAAAATGGCGGGCCAGTGTGCGAACATCTCCGCGGTTTCCCCCGCGCGTCAATAAAAAATGGCAGCCCAACGCGCAACCATCGCCGTGGTTCCCGCGCGCGTACAAAATGGCGGCCGTATGCTCGAACGGCATTCCCGCGCACACACATATCTCCGCGGTTCTCCCCGCACTTGCATCCCAGTATACTGCTTTTGGAATCACAACAGACAAGCCAAATCCCATGTTTACACCCTCCGACGTCTCCGCTGTTCGTCGCACGTATCGGCCGTAGTGGGGGAAATTTAAACCAGTATCTCTCCAAGACTCGCGTTGCAGCAATCAGCTGTCCCAACCAAGCTGAGAAGACACATCGCTCACACACTCCAACTCACAATGCAGCCCCTGGCTGCACACAATCGAGCGGAGAGAGCAACACCACTTGGCGGCAATTTACAGCCCCATGCACCCTTGATCTACATAGAACCCAAGGGCCACCCTCCCACAAAAAAAATATTGGGTTTTTTTTTCGTTTGTCGAGCAACAACAGACAGGAACTGTTGTATATGCCCCTTTTTCCACAATTAATATCAACAAGAATATTTGCCGATATTTTTTTAGGATAAATAATTAATGAAAACACACAAGCGCAGCAAACACAGATGGAAATCGTCAAAAGGCCATAAATATATAAATAAACAACATTGAAAAAGACATGGCCAGAGAAGGGTCATTGGCTATCGGAGAATCGCCAGAGTGCCAAGGGACGATTTACCATGACCTGCTGACATTATTTTGACAGTTCACAAACATGCCCAGGGTCAGAGGTCACAGACCGAGCGCTGAGCAAGCAGACAGCAGGATTGACGTAACAAAGACACCCGGGGTCACCGAGAGTTCGCCCCTTTCGTCAGCCCGCAAGCATAGCCAAATTATCGATCCCCACGCTCACTCCAATTAAAAACCAGGCCACAAGCTACATCAATGAACTATTACCCATCTATTAATTCAATACGAAATGTTATTTCCATCTTTAATAATTTCTACACAACTTGACCCGAAGCGTATGGCAATCAGAATTTTTACGAAAGTCAAAACGAATTCTCTAACCTCAGGACGTAAGCAAATAATAATAATGCAGAGTTAACTCAAGGGTTAGAGAGAGAGAAAAAGAGACCCCGGCCGTCTTTGTCTTCCCGCAGCGCGGGAGAGCAGAATAACACAGGGCCAGAGAATTATTGAGGCCATCTGCGCAGGGAGACGGTGCGTACCCCGTGCAAGCAGAGAGGAGGGGGCAGGGGGAGAAATACCTCAGAATGCGCAGCGTGCGTCAGTAAAACCTCAGGCGAGCTAGTTTTAAGTTAAAGAAAAGAATATTAATACATATCACACAGAACATTAATGCTAACGTGGTTCACCGTGAACTATATTCAGGATATCGGAAATAAAATGATAAATGAAAGCTTACACACGGAATGACGGAAATTAATAAAAACTGAAGAAGAGCCAGGATAATAGGGTAAAACACAAACTTGTTAAACATTAAACCAAGTGATATGTGAACAACCGAGGGCTAGCCAGAGAGAGAGAAAGAGACCCCGGCCGTCTATGTCTTCCCGCAGCACGTGATAAGAATATGCATACGCTCAGGAGAGCACCTTCCCTTGAAATAAAATCAAACACCACGACGGAAAACTAACACAACAGACCTTGAGTCACATACAGAATCATAACTGTAAGTGGTACAATACCAAACTATGATGGAATAAAATGTTAACTTAAAAACCTTAACTCAACCTGTGTGCGTCGGAAAAGGTCATACAGGGGGGAATCTCGCCCCTCCCTCCAGATTGTATAACACAGACAGAG